TGATAAGGCCATGGGGTAAAGTACAAAGAGCTTGACAAACACTGTTTTAAGTTGTATCTACCAGATAAAATGCTAGATTTATTTTCACTTGTTTGCTTTAACTTCCACGTTTTCCAAATCTAAATAAACAGTTCACTTGAATTAGATGAAAGCCTATGGTTGGTCATCATCTTTGACTAGACATGCTCACATTTCTCCGACTATTAGCACGTGCACTACTAATCTTGGGGAACTCTGTTGTACCATATAAAGTAATAATGATGAAATTACAACTTTAAAACGGAAAGTTATAATTGTTTAAAAAAGTTAATGATCAATATTAGACACTTAGGATCGATCATAAAAAATATCATATTGATCTCAACATTCCGTGATTGATTAAACCCTTTGAAATTGTGACTTATACTTCAAAAAAATTATAATTTTTAATACAAATATCGTGGAAGATACCATAGAAGTTCCCCATTAATATTCCTGCAACTTCTGCACAAGTTTTAAGATTTTGTGTTTTCCCATAAAAAATATAAGTTTTTGGCCTCCGCCACATGTATAAAAGACTCTCACATAACTTTTTAGATTCACGGTGTCGTTAGACTGGTGAAATTTTGGGATTAAATTCAGAGTTCAAATGATATGGCAGTTGACTTGGACTTTTTTTATTGGTGTGATATCATTTGGACCTCAATAAAAATTTCAAATAATCAACTGCTATGTCATTTGACTCTAAATTTAATTTCAAAATTTGATCTGTCTAGCATTACTCTTAGACTAAATCTCTACCCAAGTCTATATCAATTGTTAATTGCTCCCACTATATCCTTGCTCCATGAAAGTTAATCGCAATATAAACCAACATGAAAGATGGGCATCAAATGCCAAATTGGTGTATATAGGAGGAAAAACCATACAAACCAAAGACGAATTTAATAACAAACAATATGAGCCTTGCTTCTTCCATACTCATCTTAGAGATAATTAGCTGAAAACTTTTGACTAGAGAAATAAAATTAAAACCCAAGTCCCAAGTTCACACCAAAACATCTATGTTGTTGTTTATTAATGATCTACATCATCTATATATATATATATATATATAGAGAGAGAGAGAGAGAGAGAGAGAGTTAAACTGAAAAAACTATAACTAGTACTTATTTCATGCCTGCCCAAAAAAACTCTAATACCAATTACTCTTGGGGAGTTAGATATCAAATCACATCTCAATGACCTAAAGAAAAGCACAAAATTGGAGAAAAAAACTACCAAAAGAAAAACAAAAAATAAAAAAAAACTAAATAATTTTATTTGAATCTAATTTATGGACCTAATTTATCACGACCATTAAATTGGTTGTGGATCCCAACAAATATTAGGACCCTTTATCAATCTAATGACTATGAATAATTATGTCAACAAATTAGATTAGTAAATTATATTCAAATAACATTACTCTTATTAATATACAAAAACCAAAAGTTTTCAATTTGCATTGGAAGAAATAAGCTTAAACCATTGGCTCTGGGGATTGTCATGGCACTGATCAGAATCATCTTGAGAACAAAGGCACTTCTTTGTCAAAATCCTTGAAGAATAGTTTGGATCCCAATCTAAACACAAGTCTGTCCCATGTTCATCTCTGTTAGCAATCTGATACTTGGTGTCAGAAAATAATTTCCACGTACTTTGCTCGCTCATGCAATCAGCCGTCAGGCTCACCGGTAAGCCGTCTCCGACTGCTGTCAGACACAATGGAGTACCCATCAGACGGATCGGAGTTCCGTCTCCGGCGTGGCTCCATCGACTCAAGCTCCAGCAATCAGTTGGATGAAGTTCGTTATTGACCCCCCTCATACAACGACCACTCGTTGGATGATACATTATGTAGTATGGTGAAACATTCGATTTGGGATCTGCATAAGAAAAAAAGTTTAGTTGTCTTACTATTGAATTAGTGCTTGAATAAGTTAGTGTAAGAAAATGTTACATAACACTATTTTTTTTTTTTTTGAGAGGAAACGATAAAAAGTTTTATAAATCAGAAATATCCGAAAGGAGCACAACCATAATAAGGTCGGGTGAAATTTAATATTAGTAAATGGGTGAAATTTACAGGAAAAACATTATGGGAGATAATTTTTGAATGATAGGGGTGACAGTAAATTGTGTTGTCGTGTGTTATGGTCATGTTATTTTAGATTAATATTTTGTATTAAGGGCTCTCATTACAAGATTTGAAAAGAATTAGATGCACGCAGTCTTATCCTTGCAAACAGAGAGACTGTTTCCGCCACTTGAACCCATGACATTCAGGTCACAATAGAACAATTTAACCGTTTGGTTAAGGTCCGCTATCTCATTAATTATATAAGAGTAAACAAAAAATTCAAAACTATCACTTTTCTCTTTCAACCAAATCCACAAGTCTTCCATATACTAAAAAGTCACTTAGATCTCTANTTCAAAACTATCACTTTTCTCTTTCAACCAAATCCACAAGTCTTCCATATACTAAAAAGTCACTTAGATCTCTATACTCATAAAATTAAGCAAAAAATAAAAATCGTGTGACAAAAAAAAAATTCAAATTTTTATACTGATTAACTTATCATGTCAAAATCACATAACCCATTTATTCGTATTTGTAGATCGTGTCAAGAACTAGACAGTTTTTATTCTTTAATTTTATGTGGAGTTAATGTGTAGCCATATAAGACAGAATCATGTAAAGCAAACCTTGAATCTTCTGTTGTATAAGCTGTAACTTCTCATGAAACTCTGGACTTCTTAGACTGTTCCAGCTAGAATTGAACATCCCATATGTCTCATCAGGATCTTGAAGTCCATCCCTTAGGTAATAGCTTCCTTGCAATGCCCACAGAGCCCAATCCAAATCCTTCTCCGCCAAATAGCCCAGAAAACAACCCAAGAACAGGTTGTCTGCCTCATTCACTCCCATCTGGTTGATACCAAATTCAGTCACAAACAATGGTGCCGGATTCCTACCGCCGGTTAAAAATCCGACCTTTTCTTCGATTTCTCCTGTGATATTGGCACAGACATTATTCAATGGCTGATGCAGCCACATATCTGTCTGTCCCTCGGTGAATGCGTACCGATGTGTCTCGAACACCAACTTATGATGAAATTTCAATCCCAGTGGTCTTTCCTTCAACATTCTAAAATCAAGATCGTAGTCTAATCCTGATATGAGTATTAATAAATTTGGGTTTGTCCTGTGAATAGTATTTGCACCCATTCGGACATATCGATACCAAACTGTCTTGTTTTGACGCGGGCCTCGTAGCTCGTTTCGTAAGCTCATTCCAACTACCTGCATTGATAAATTTATAAACCCGTAGTAAGATGTCACGTCGGAATCTCATATAAGAACATTACAACAGANAGTATTTGCACCCATTCGGACATATCGATACCAAACTGTCTTGTTTTGACGCGGGCCTCGTAACTCGTTTCGTAAGCTCATTCCAACTACCTGCATTGATAAAATTATAAACCCGTAGTAAGATGTCACGTCGGAATCTCATATAAGAACATTACAACAGAATATATAAAATCAAGTTGCATAAAGTGCTACCATAGGAGTGTCCTTGAACCGCTTAGCTACTATGGCTAAGCTTCGTAGCCATTCTCTGGGATTAAAATGCTCATCGCCAAAGAACCCATTCCCATCAGTATCACCACAACACCACATCGGCTGGCTAACTTGGTTATCAAGAACAACCATAACTCCATGTGAACCAAGCTCCTCAACGACAGCCTTTTGGGCGTCAACCACCGTGAGGCCTAAAATATCCGGGTTGTTCTTGGCTATGCCCACCTTCGCCTCCACCAAACCAAGGTCCTGAAAGGATTGTGCCACGGTAAGATTAGCATGACGCGTGAACATGTATGTAGCCCACGTCAGACGTATGCAGTTGAACCCCATCAAGGCCACATACCTTGCAATTTGGTTCAATGGCTTCTTGTCGAGTCCCTCGGGTAACATGGGTTCCAAGTGAGCAGCCCAATTCGCACAGGCGAGCTTCACTCGATCCTCTGTTGGTTCATCCACAATCCATCTTGATTGTGTTGAGAGAGGCAGTGAAAGAGATGGAGTTACAAATGCGAAAAGCAAGACTATGAGAATGGTTTTCATGGCTTTTCCCTAGAATTTTTCTAGCCAAAAGGAGATAGGTCTTAATTTACTGATGGATCATGGCCATATATATAGCACTACAGCTCCTAAAATAATGAGGATATTATCCTATCTTTTGAGAGTTCTTTTTTTGAATTCGAATGAAGTAGTTCTTGTAGCTCCACTCAGCTGGGTTTGTGCAACTTCTTGTAGATTCAAAGACATTGATCAGTGGATGATTTCTAGAAGCCCATTGCTGGTTGACTTAGTAAAAGAGATCGATGCTTGGTGAATTTGGTTTGTTGTACTACATTACCCATTCCATGTTATCATATTTCTGAACAAGTACTCTCACAAAGTTGTTATGATAGATAAAATTTGGTAAATGATTTGATATAAGTAGTGGCAGTGGTGTCCAAAGAGCCCTTAGTATTTCATCAAAACCCCACAACCTAATAATCTCTTTCAAAATTGCTCCCCAGTCTTTCTTGGCTATATCTGCCTTCGACTCTTTCAGGTCAGTAAGCTTAGCATAGTGTGTGAATATGTTTGTAACTCAGGTGAGACGTAAGTAGTTGAACCCCATTAACACCACATGCCTTGCAGTGTGACTCAACAACTTCTTGTCGAGCCCCTTGGCTAACATGGGTTCTAGATGAGCAACCCGGTTCTCACAGGTTAGCTTCACTCCATCCCCTGTTGGCTCTTCTACAATCCATCTTGATCTTGGCAAGAGAGGCAGAGAACAAGAGAAAGTTTCAAAGGAGAAAAGCTAAGTTATGAGAATGAGTTTCAAAAAAAAAAAACAAGAGACTGAGTTTCATGGTTTTCCCTACCATTTTTCTAGGCAAAGGACACCAAGTTGATGTAGTATTTATTCATAGACCAGTCGTACATCACACTTTTTCTGCTTAATAGGAAACAAAACTGTAACTAATAATCAAAAAAAGGTACAAAGTTGGTGATATCGAAAGCATGATGGTTGTTCAACAACACTCCACCCTCCACACTCCACTATGAAGAGGAGAAACTGTTCTTTTTCTTTAAAAAAAAATCAGCCATAATCCTATTTTTAGGAGTTCCATCCAATGAACAAAACCATTAACCTAAAAGATTATATCCCAACAACTCAACTCAACGAAGCCTTACACCAAGTGGCTGATCTTGTTAACAGGCTCACCGACAATTGAACAGAAGTGCTCATTTAGATTTCCGTTGATCAGAAACCCTTGCTCCTGCAATCTTGCAAACAGGTTCTTCACTGGGCATAACAAGCTTTAAAGCGGGATGAACCTTGAGGTCACCCATTACCAACTTTTGGCCCACATCCAATTCGCTTAGGTCCACATCAATATAGGGAGGGACTACATCGGCCGGGCAGAGATACTTAACAGTCCTCTTAATAATGTTCAAATAGGCTCCTGCCAAAATGGGAAAATAATGTGATACTCCAGGTCAGATGATAGAAATGATGTAACGAGCATAGAGAACATCACATAATAAGAAGCATCCCAGCTGATAATGAACCTCTGCAGAGCACAAAGAATACATAAACAAATAAAATCACTTCAGGTGCCTCCTAAAATTGGAGTTCGTATTAGTGAAGCTGATCGTTTGAAGTAACAATTTTGCAATCAAGATTTGCACAAAAATATCTTCAGTGCAACCACTCTATGAAATCAGCGCCTAAAATTCGCTTAATAGGCTAAATTCGTTTCCAAAAATTGGAATGTCTACTGAAAAAAATGTTACAGATAAAAAAGAATATTTCAAGAGCCTTTACATGAAAGGACCTTTACATAACTGAAAAGACAATATTTCCGCATCTCGGCAGGATTATTGATAGAACTCCAGGTACCAAAGGTGACCTAACTGCACATGATTGTAAAGAACACAACTCCAAAACTATTTAACGACTTATCCTCGTAATATGACTCGCACAAGCTTCATAATTTGCATGAATAAGAGCACTTTGCAACTTTAGTATGAAGTGGTCATGGGAAGAGAAATTGCATTTTTAGCATACCTTTTTTCAACCCAGGAGATACGTCTTCTCCTCTGAATACAAGAGGAATTTCAACCTTCAACAAAGCACTCGATGGAGCTCTCATAAATGTAACATTAAGTACTCTATCTGTACCGGCATGCAGATGAAGCTACACAATTAGAGAGAAATAATGTCAGAATATGTCCCACCCTTGGTAATGTTCAGCTGACTAACTATTCAAAATGTATAAAATGACATTGCATCAACATAAGCTCTTAAGTTCTCACCAGCAGGTATTTTCCTCATATCCAATTAAACTAGTCACCTAGTCACATGCTTTTACTCCTTTTATTCTGGCAACCATTGCATAATTCAAGAAATAACACTAAACAATAAATTTTGAACCTTAAATTCCACAATGCCAAATCTATGCAGAAGAGTGTAATGTCATGCAGGAGAGACCACAATTTCATAGGAGAGTCATTATGAAACTCTAGAAGTTATATAACACACTCAGAGGAAACACTCAAGATAATACATGAATATGATCAAATAAGATTAGAAATAATTATGACTATAGCATAGAAATGGAGATCACAGAAAATTTGCAAGGCATTAAGTTTTCTATGAATTAGAATCCTGATTGATACAAGTCACATGTATGAATTAGAATCCTGACCCAATGGTATTTCTTACTTTATGAAGACTTTGTTTTCTTGAGGTCAAGAGTTCAAGTTCCCCCTCCTAAAACCAAAAAAAAACAAAAAAAAATTTTAAAACAAAAAATAAAAAAAATATATATATATTTTGAAGACCTATCAACATTCCAAAAGTCTCTGCATTGATGGACACGNCCCCCCTCCTAAAACCAAAAAAAAACAAAAAAAAAATTTAAAACAAAAAATAAAAAAAAAATATATATATTTTGAAGACCTATCAACATTCCAAAAGTCTCTGCATTGATGGACACGTTCATAACATAACATGACATCATACTCTGCAACCAATTTGTGTAGCTCAAAAACTTGAGTACCTGCTACATCCCCTCCCACCTTACACTGAAAACATCAAACCCCAGTTGCCCTTTTTACAGCTTAATTCTACCATGAACCAAACATAGAATGTGGCTCAATATCTAAAATACTGATTTCTAGCGTAACCATTCCTGTAATAAACCAGAATCCCCAATACTTCAAAGTGCATACAAATTAATTCACCCTAATACATAGCAAACCAATCATATGCCCACTCATGATTCTCAAATGTCCATCGCAAGTCCAATTCTAATTTCATTGAAGTAAAAATTGCACTTTAAAAGTTGTAAAAAATTAACAACCCATTTCAAAGTTCTCTTCTTTTTTTTTGTATCCATGACCACATAATTTATAAACAGAAAATCCTATAGGTGTTCACATCAAAATCATAACTAGATATGAGCAGATATCAGTCCCATTCCAAAGAAATAAGAAAAGTAAAGCAATTGTAAGAAATACCAAATACCCAACTCCAATGGATAAACAAATCTCTCTTAAGCATTTGAAATCAACATTTTCTGATTCAAATGACAAGCTCGTAGCAATAGAAAACTAATGACCAGAAATTCAAGACCATACCATCCTAGGCAATACTCGAACCTTCTCTATTAGCTCATCGGACTCAAAATCCGGCCGAACCTCAAGATAAAAAAGCCTAGACAAGAAAAACGACCGACCCAAATGGTTAACAAGCTTCTTGATCTGATTGGTATGTACGGAAATAAGCCTTTTGTTCCCACCATGCTGGCCGTCCTCTTGCTCGAAGACGATGCTTGGAACTCGACCTTTCTTTCTTTCTTTGGCGGAAATGTTTGAACCGGAGGCGGCGCGTGGGATTGCACGGATGGTCTCGTCGTATTTGGGGTCTGGCTTCGGAAACCCTTCGAGGTATGTGAGTGGGATTTCTTGCTGGAAGGCTTGGAGAAGAGTTGCTACGGCTGATTGGGTGAAGTATCGGAGATGGAGGGCTTTGGCGACGACTGAGCGTTGGATCAGCATCTGGCGTGGGGGAGTGTGTGTGTGTGTGTGTGTGAGAGAGAGTGAGAGAGAACTGGCTGGACTATGGAGTACGGAGAGGGCTGAAGAAGGGTTTAGAGAAATGCAGCACGACAATGGATTCGGCTTGAAATGCAATGCCTTCGCACCGCTTATTGAATCACAAATTTAGGCCCTTAATCGACTCAAGCTATCCAACTTTGATTTTGGGCTCGGTTCGAATAAAATTCGGTTAAAATTCGATTCGTTTTAATACGAATCGCGTTTGAATAATTTTTTTAATTTGATAAAAAAATAATTTAATTTAATTTTATAAAATTCAGCTCGTTTATATATAAAATATTTGAGTTATTAATACTCATTCGAATTCGACTCAATTTNCCGATTCGTATTTAAAACGGATCGCGTTTGAATAATTTTTTAAATTTGGTAAAAAAATAATTTAATTTAATTTTATAAAATTCAACTCGTTTATATATAAAATATTTGAGTTATTAATACTCATTCGAATTCGACTCAATTTAGACTTTATTTATTTTTTAAATAAATTAAATTTAAATAATATTTTAAATCTAGAGATAATGAGATGTGAGTACCTTTTTTAAAACTTATTTGACTTTAAGTATCACCTTCAAACTTATACTCCTTTAAATCCTCTTTTTCATTAAATAGTTGTTAATAAGTACACATTTTAAAATATTTTTAAATTCTTTCTAAAATGTATTCNGAATAATATTTTAAATCTAAAGATAATGAGATGTGAGTATCTTTTTTAAAACTTATTTGACTTTAAGTATCACCTTCAAACTTATACTCCTTTAAATCCTCTTTTTCATTAAATAGTTGTTAATAAGTACACATTTTAAAATATTTTTAAATTCTTTCTAAAATGTATTCAATAATTACCCCTATCATAAATAATGCATACCTACTTGAATGTAAAACTTTTAAGATTAGAATGTGAGAATTTCAAGATTTCTTTTGATATATGTGTATTATTTGAATTTTGAAATTGTATATATATACACACACACATACATACACGTATATATTTACACACACACACACGCAATACAATAACATGAAACAGTGACACGCTCAACAAAAATATTTGTGTTACTGTTTGATGTTACTATNATTTCAAGATTTCTTTTGATATATGTGTATCATTTGAATTTTGAAATTGTATATATATACACACACACATACATACACGTATATATTTACACACACACACACGCAATACAATTACATGAAACAGTGACACGCTCAACAAAAATATTTGTGTTACTGTTTGATGTTACTATTTTTTGTTGAATGTGTTACTGTTTGATGTTACTTTTTTTTTTGTTGAATGTGTTACTGTTTGATGTTACTTTTTTTTGTTGAGCGTATCACTATTTGATATTACAATTTTTTTGTTAAGCGTGTCACTATTTCATATCACTGTATTACGTGTGTGTGTGTGTGTCTATATATATAAAATTTTAAAATTCAAATAATACATAAATATAAAAAAGAATCTTGAAACTCTTACATTCTAATCTTAAAAGTCTCACATTTAATTAGGTATGTCCTATTTATGATAGGGGTAAAAGGGTTTTTTTGAATTTTTATTAGCATATGTACTTCTATCCCAATTATTTTAAAAAGTGTACTTTTATCCTATTAAATTTTTGGGTTCTTTGGAAGTTGGTACACCTAATTAGACTTATTTAGCAAAAAGTATATACAATAACATGTGAGTTAAAAAGACATAAATGCCCATTTTATGGTCATTTAATTCAAAATCTCTTATCTTTAATGCATCTTGATTCATTTATATTTGTTAATACATATAAATACGTATTTAATACACTTTTAAGTCATGTGTATATATATATATATATATATATATATATATATATATATATTTGTTGTTAAATCTCTTATTTAAATTTTGAATTATCTTTAATGCACTTTTGATTCATGCGTATTTTTTTTAAAAGTGATTTTATTTTCAAATTATATTTAATGCACCTTGNTATAAAAAAGAATCTTTAAAGTCTTACATTCTAATCTTAAAAGTCTCACATTTAATTAGGTATGTCCTATTTATGGTAGGGGTAAAAGGGTTTTTTTGAATTTTTATTCGCATATGTACTTCTATCCCAATTATTTTAAAAAGTGTACTTTTATCCTATTAAATTTTTGGGTTCTTTGGAAGTTGGTACACCTAATTAGACTTATTTAGCAAAAAGTATATACAATAACATGTGAGTTAAAAAGACATAAATGCCCATTTTATGGTCATTTAATTCAAAATCTCTTATCTTTAATGCATCTTGATTCATTTATATTTGTTAATACATATAAATACGCATTTAATACACTTTTAAGTCATGTGTATATATATATATATATTTGTTGTTAAATCTCTTATTTAAATTTTGAATTATCTTTAATGCACTTTTGATTCATGCGTATTTTTTTTAAAAGTGATTTTATTTTCAAATTATATTTAATGCACCTTGATTTAAACGTTTGTTTTTTTTTTTGAAAATAGTTTTATTTTTAAATTAATTTAATATCCGAATAATGTAATAATATAATAATAACAGTGTAACAAAAACACTGTAACAAAGACAGTGTAATAAATACACTGTAACAAAAACNATATTTAATGCACCTTGATTCAAACATTTGTTTTTTTTTTTGAAAATAATTTTATTTTCAAATTAATTTAATATCCGAATAATGTAATAATATAATAATAACAGTGTAACAAAAACACTGTAACAAAGACAGTGTAATAAATACACTGTAACAAAAACAGTGTTCAGTAATTTGTATATATGGTAACAAATTCAAAACGGAAATGGACTATTTTGAATGAAATTATATGAAACTATANAACATTGTAACAAAGACAGTGTAATAAATACACTGTAACAAAAATAGTGTTCAGTAATTTGTATATATGGTAACACATTCAAAACGGAAATGGACTATTTTGAATGAAATTATATGAAACTATATGTTTGACAAAATGTAATAGTACAATATTTTGTGTAAATAACTTGTTACACTATTATTATTATACTGTTACACTTTTATTGTTACACTATTATACTATTCAGATATTAAATTAATTTGAAAATAAAATCACTTTCTAAATAAAAATACATGAATCAAGATGCCTTAAAAAATAATTTAAAATTTAGATATATATATATATATATATATATNTAATTTGAAAATAAAATCACTTTCTAAAAAAAAATACATGAATCAAGATACCTTAAAAAATAATTTAAAATTTAGATATATATATATATATATACGGAAATATATATGTATTTATGTATATAAAAAAACATATGTATATAAATATATATGTATTTATGTATATAAAAAAACGTATATATATATGTATTAAAGTTCTCCCATAAAATTAGGAGATGTTTAATGCACCACTTTCCAAAAAAAAATTGTGCATTAAATACACATAGATTAATGGAGGGCAAAAATATCACAATAAAAATAAATAAATTCAAATTATGTATTTGGATACAAAAGTATCAAAATTAAGTACTTAATAACTCTATATTTTTTAGTATGTACTTTTTACCAAATAAGTCTAATTTGGTATACCCTTTTACAATTTACCCTAAATTTTTTGAGAGATATCGTCCCCCTAAGTCCCTTAAATCTATTTAAAAAACCGAACTCATTAGGCTTGAATGCAAACTAGTAAAGTTTGACCGGATTCACAGTTCCTATTCACAATTGACACTACAATGAGAAATTTGATCATATCGGACCAGTTGATCAATCAACAGCCCAGCCCAGCCCATTGTAGACTGGACCCGTCGCTGCTAATAAACTCAACCATTGAACGCATTGGACACCCCCGGTCGCATATTCGTTGCATTATTCTGTTTTAAGGATTTAGGAAATGTCACCATCGATGTGTAATGACAAAATTACCCAGTTCTAATTTTGAAGTCGAAGGTCAGAAATCAGCAAGATTTTGGTAATTGAGTTTGGTTAAATTGGCCAATGGCAATATCCAGTGGCCTCACCCTCATGGTCGATATGAACTGCACACAGTAGTAGATGAAGGCAAGTTAGCTCTCAGAATTTCTTTGCGTTTAACAACTGCAAAGCTTTCTCAGTCTGGGACTCGAATGAGGTAAGTGGAAAGTACCCTTTTCCTTTGAATGCGTGTGTGTGTGTGTGTGTGTGTATGTGGCATGAATTTACTATTTTTTTTTTTAATAATGCCCACTACCTTATTTTAGTTGTCACTACTCTGTTTGATTGCCGAGAAATTACCGGAANGTGTACGTGGCATGAATTTACTATTTTTTTTTTAATAATGCCCACTACCTTATTTTAGTTGTCACTACTCTGTTTGATTGCCGAGAAATTACCGGAAAATGATAGANATGTGGCATGAATTTACTATTTTTTTTTTTAATAATGCCCACTACCTTATTTTAGTTGTCACTACTCTGTTTGATTGCCGAGAAATTACCGGAAAATGATAGAAAATATAATAATTTCTTGTTCCTCCATTTTTTTCTTAATAACCACCCTCAAGTTCAGGTGAAAGTCTTGATGTTCTCATTCATGGTAATTGAGCAATAAGCTACATTTACTAATGGATATTGAATTATTTGAAGTTTTGTTTGGTATAATGCTTTCATTTTGATATGCCTTTGCCTTCTTAATTGCGTAATTAGGCAGTTCTAGTCTTAATAATCCACCATGGAACGCGCTGACAAGCCCTTGAAACTGATCATTATGCTATAGTGGAATGTCGAGAGAAGAGAAGCCCCTTATTTCAATTATTCTCAATCTCATGAAACTCAGAATACCACAAATTTCGATTTACAAGGCCAAACACAACTTCTATCCATATAGGATTTTTATATCAAGATTCAATCTCACAACTTTAGAGAAGTGTTCAGCTATGGCAACTGATTCCTCCCTATAGGGTGTGAAGAATAACATGCTCAACTGTCTATGGAGTAGTACACAAAAAGCATACATCTATTTATGATAGCATGATTTGAAATGTTTGAGGGAGTCTTAGAAAAGAAGTGGAGACACACAACTCCAAGATTGAAAACCACAATAGTACTTGGGGGATGATGGGTTGAAGTACAATTTCAAACAATGGAGTTGAATATGGTTACTTGTGTTGTATATGCAATGGTCTCAGCTATTGAATTACTTAGATGTTAGCTTTCAATTAGAAGACGTTGGCTTTTTCATGACGATATTTGTTGATCCATTTCAAGTGTTGTGTGTGTAGAAGCTGCTCCTTATGCAAAGTGCAATCTACACACACTCCCACACCCATTATCACTTGGGTTCAAATGCAGTAAACAATTGTACATTCTTGTTCGTCCTGCACCACATCTATGATGGAACAAAAAAATGGAACCAACATACAATAGATTGAACAAAACGTATTCTTTGTGTATGATTATCAGAATCATGGTCGTTTAGAAGATTCCCCATTGTACGACTTTAAAGATTGATATGCTATCACTCAATAAAACAAACATAGATTAGGAATGAAAAACATGGAAGAGCATCCCCATGGTTATGTGATAGTCAGATAACATCTTTTTAGCTGTTCTGGGTATAGGAGCCACAAGAAAGGTCAGACAATGCTAGTGAATTCTGATAATGTGCAAGTGAGTTCAACACATCTCTTCCCCTATGATAAAAGAAAACAAAAAACAGATTGTCTATCGGAGAAAGATCTCTAAAAACAAATAGGGCAAAATCAAGACTGATGTAAAGCTTGGCTGAGACGACTTCTAAACTCTAAAGCAAACCTTCACCTTACAATTTCATCATGATTGTCTTAGTTCCTTGAGAAATTTATGGTTGTGCTGACAATAAGATGTTCCCCAACCATGTTTATTAAGACATTTGTGTCCATTCTGGTATTGAAACTTCTTGTTGGATTGACCACCCTGCCGGTTTGTTTTGTTTATGAAAGCAAAAGCTTCAGCTCCAAGGTTGAAGTTGTCATTTAATTGCAAGTTCATTTCCTGCCGGCCTTTTCTCCCTCTTCCCTCCCCTCTGGGAAGAGTTGGTGGAACAGACTCTCAAGACTCTTCTATACTACATAGGCAGAATCAGAAGCTAGATCTACTTATTTAAGTGTGACTGTGAGTGCTAATGTTTTGTCATTAAGTTGTTGTCTTTTTCCTTTCCCTTTTTGTTGGTTATAGTTTAGATGGACTTTTAAGCTGGTAGGTTCCACATCAGGATACCATTAGAAAAATCCACTAGTGGTTGTTTGGATGGAACCTTTGTGTTGATAAAATAGGTGGGGTGCACAACTTTTTGATGACTTGCAAGTGCATGGTTTGAGTTTACACTTATTATAGGTGATATGTTGGGGAAAGTTTGGTTCAAAGTATCAGAGAGGTGACTTGATTGAATCAATTCAGAACCTACAATAACCTAGTTTAATTGATTAGTATTTTGACCCCGGATCTTTATCCCAAACCTGCATGAAGATTAATTTTGAACTGGGATCTTTCTCTTGAACCCGCATGAATATTTAAAATTAGGGCCTCTGGATTGGATTATTGACTTCTATGTGGTCCGGGATGTAAAAGAGTTGAATGTCTAGCTGCACCTGATGAGATTTAACGCACGAAAAAAAAAAACTTATGCTCCATCCATGCCAGGATCCCCCGGGTATGGATTAGGTTGCNCTAGTTTAATTGATTAGTATTTTGACCCCGGATCTTTATCCCAAACTTGCATGAAGATTAATTTTGAACTGGGATCTTTCTCTTGAACCCGCATGAATAGTTAAAATTAGGGCCTCTGGATTGGATTATTGACTTCCATGTGGTCCGGGATGTAAAAGAGTTGAATGTCTAGCTACACCTGATGAGATTTAACGCACGAAAAAAAAAAACTTATGCTCCATCCATGCCAGGATCCCCCGGGTATGGATTAGATTGCAGGCAAAGATAAATTGGTTGAGTTTTTATTTATACAAAACACTTATTTAATACAACGGATTGGATGGAATAAGGTTGGGCCTACAAAGAATCCAACCTTATGTCCAATTTGGAATGAAAGGGATGAGTTTCAATTAGAGGGGATAGTATTCCAACTGCTGAAAAGGTGTGATTGGTGCGGATAGTCCAAACCTATTGGTTCGGAATATGCAATGAGAAATCAAAAAAGTGTTATTTTATGGACGGCTGGCACTGGTATCAATGATTGTATTCAGTGCCATGACGATGGTGGCCCCTCAGATGTATAAGGCTTTTTTTTCTCCAGAGTTCAAGGGTGACCCCACTTTTCTGTATAATGCATAGAGTGGGCCATATGGGTCCCAGCCGGTGTCAAGGTGGAACATAGAAAACATCGGGTAGTTTCTAATTAGCCTAGCCCCGTATTTGCATCACAATCGGTGCCGACAAACACGAAATCTCCATTTTCTTAGTGCTAATTGATTTAATTATTTTTAGGTGAATATTTATTGATTTAATTTGCATGAGAGTGGGTTTTTACATAATTTTAAAATTGTTTATCATGAATTCAAATAAAAAAATTACTCTCTCAAAACCTAGTCTAGTTATTTATTTTGATTCTCTCAATTAAAAAAAAACATGTTCCTCAAAAAAAAAAAATTAAAAAAAAAACATGATTGAGTTAAAAAAATCATTGTTGAGCCATAAAAATAAAACAAAATCAAAAAAATAATTATTACCAAAAATAAACTTAGAGCCTGATGAGATCAGAAGATTGTTTTTCGTTTCGACGGCTCAGATTAAATCTAGCACTTTAACTCTGCCCTTTTATAGCCGTAGTCCCTCTGTAAAGATCACCTTCACATCACACAGTGAGCTGTTACAAAACCTCTGCGAACGCGCGCGCGCGCACATAGACGGTGAGACTCTCCTGCTTTTCAATCTGTGCCGGTTTCGGAACGTTTCGAATCGGAGGGTTTGGTTGTGGATCGGAAGGGGTTTAGATAGCGGGAGAGATGGCGGACCATGAGGAATCGAAGATAGAATCGGTGATGGAGAAGATAAGTGATAAAATACACGGTCATGATGATTCGTCGTCGTCATCATCGTCAGATTCCGAGGACGAGAGCTCATCGTCTTTGAAAACGAAGGTGTATCGTCTATTCGGTAGAGAAAAGCCTGTTCACAAGGTCCTCGGCGGTGGCAAACGTAGGTTTATCGATCTTGACGTTCATTTTCATCACTTTTTTGAGACTTCATGTTTCAAAAATTGTGGATAGGTTGAAATTTTGCGTTCGACGTTCCATTTGTATTGAACAGTCATCGTTTGTGGATATGCATATTTTTGCTTTAATTAGCATGAATTTGAAGATTTAATATCACTGGATTTCGTCTTATTCTGATTTTTTTTGGTGAATTCAACTTTATTTAATTTAGCAATGAACATGATATGGTTGAACTTAAAGCCTAGAACTTTATTTGTTAATAGCACTGTTTTATGTTTTGCTGTGTCTTTTTTCTTTTCAATTTGGTTTGTTTTTGTCATCTAGATCTGATCGGTTATGAAATGAGTGGCACTTGTGAATTGATTAATTGATGTTGTGGATACTCACATACAATTTTTTTTAATGTTTGTTGACGGTCTTGATGGGATTGGTATAGAGAAAGTTAGTCTTCTGCTTCCTAAAGGTTAATTGGCTTTAACACTTTTTTAACAAAGTTGAAACTAAAAAATTATTGGAACACTTTGTTATAATTCTACACTAAACAAATACTGTGAAGAAACTCTAATTAAATCCCTTTAAGAGTTGCGAAGTTCCTTTTGTTTTCTTGAGTTGGTCTCCTAATTTTCATTTGATGTGTTGGTATAGTGGCTGATGTGTTTTTATGGAGGAACAAGAAGATCTCAGCAGGACTTCTAGGTGGGGTCACAACCATCTGGGTTCTGTTTGAAGTGATTGGTTACCATTTGCTCACTCTAGTCTGCCATGGTATGATACTTGCTCTGGCTATATCATTCTTGTGGTCTAACGCTGCCACTTTCATCAACAAGTGAGTCGATTTACATTGTTATCAGATCATCGCTTTCATCCAACTATGCTATCTATCAAACTCAACATTTGTTTCATCCTCTAAATCCTCAGTTACCTGACATCTATCAAAAAAACAAAAATTCCTATTTTCCCCTGATAGGTCTCCGCCACGTATTCCTGAAGTTTACATTCCAGAGGAGCCTGTTCTGCAGTTCACATCTGCTTTGAGGATTGAGATCAACCGAGCTTTTGTGGTCCTGAGGGATATTGCATCTGGAAGAGATTTGAAGAAGTTTCTATCTGTATGTTAATGTCTTTCACTCTCAAAGTTAACCATCAACTGCTATTTTTATAGTTTTTTAGATAACTATTTCTCATAGTTGGTGATTGGACATCTGTGATCAAATTTGTGAGTTTGCATCCCTTCACTAAGAAACATTAACATTGATGAAACAATTGTACGAGGGATTTAGTTGGACCTTTTAATATCCAAGTTTTAGGCTTTATAGTTCCAAAACTTTAATGGATAATTTTTTGTCAAGTATATGGAGCTTTTCCAAAAGTAGAATTTTTACTCTGCATTGATTCAGGATATGAAGAGTCACATTTCTGGTTTATAAGTTAGGGAAATTCTATTGAACCAAATAAAAAAAATTTGGTACCGTACTGCCAATTACAACTTTATAAGGAAGAAGTTACAACTGCAAAAGTCATGATCGATCACAGATATTTATAATTGATCATGAACGNATTTGGTACCGTATTGCCAATTACAACTTTATAAGGAAGAAGTTACAACTGCAAAGGTCATGATCGATCACAGATATCTATAATTGATCATGAACGTCCATCGAGCATTTATAAATTCTCTTTTATGAGTCATAANTTTGGTACCGTACTGCCAATTACAACTTTATAAGGAAGAAGTTACAACTGCAAAAGTCATGATCGATCACAGATATTTATAATTGATCATGAACGTCCATCGAGCATTTATAAATTCTCTTTTATGAGTCATAATTTGACCTTGAAAAGTTTTAATTTAACTTTTTACAATTGTAACTTTGACATTGATTTCAATCTTTTCATGATCGATCATAATCTTCCAAGTTGTAAGTTACGCCTCAAAAAATTTGTAACTTACCCTTACAAGGTTGTACCGAGACTACACGGTTGTAACTTTCAGTATAGTACCTCCTTCGGTACCGTAGCCTTTCCCTATAAGTTAACCATTTTCTTGTGTTTGTTCCATTCCCTATCAGGTGATTGCTGGCTTGTGGGTCTTGTCAATTGTGGGCAGTTGCTGCAACTTCTTGACCTTGTTCTACATAAGTAATGTCATTTCTTGGATTATGACTAATTTAGTTGCCATATTCTCACCTTTTAACATTTTCTTTCTTGGTTCTATAAACAGCTTTTGTTTTGCTGCACACGGTTCCTGTACTGTATGATAAGTATGAGGACCAGATAGATCCATTTGCAGAGAAGGCAATGGTTGAGATCAAGAAGCAGTATGCAGTCTTTGATGCAAAGGTATTGAGTAAGATCCCCAGGGGTCCATTGAAAGGCAAGAAGAATGCATGAGTGGTGGAAAGTGTCATAAATTTATATATCCATTAGTGACTAGAAACCCTGCTTCTATACCCTGTGTTTTTTGCTTCTTTGGGTTCACAAATAGATCAAAAACTTGCAGCTATTGCAATGATGGATAGTATTTTGACGTATTTCTGTGGCTAGATCTGGTGGTAATGTTATCATTATGATAGTGTCTGTCAATTAACGTATTCTACTGTGGTACTTGACAATGGTTTGTTTTATGTGTTTTGGATTATGCTTTTATGTTCATGAGATGAATGAATTTGTTCACTTGAGCTTTGTACGAGTGCTATTGTGTATACAGAGATTATATCCGTTTTATTCCTTCCTGGATGTATTAAATCAGAGGAATAAACTTAGCAGATTGACAATGGTTTTGCAAATTTGCTCGAGAACCCTTTCGAGTTGGTTTTATACCACTGCCCCTTGCAAGCTGATTGACTGTGGTATTGTGATGAAAGCTGCAGTGGTATAAAACCAACTCAAAAGGGTTTTTGAGCAAATTTGTAAAAGAGCAATACTACATAAAAAAATAGAATTGATAATTACAACCATTGATTTCACTGTATATATGTTTCCGTAAGCAAAATGCATCTCACGCCTGAGATAGGATTGATGCTCCAGCATTTTCTTAGCATCTCAATTAGGAAACTAACAGTAGGCATTTTGGTATANACTGCAGTGGTATAAAACCAACTCAAAAGGGTTTTTGAGCAAATTTGTAAAAGAGCAATACTACATAAAAAATAGAATTGATAATTACAACCATTGATTTCACTGTATATATGTTTCCGTAAGCAAAGTGCATCTCTCACGCCTGAGATAGGATTAATGCTCCAGCATTTTCTTAGCATCTCAATTAGGAAACTAACAGTAGGCATTTTGGTATAAAACAATACGCTAGCAAGCGACAGTGGTAACCCTCATCCCCGGAACATATTGACAATGGTTTTGCAAAGAGTAATGTTACATGAACTTAAAAAATAGACTTAATAATTATAACCATTGAATAAATAGTAAATCTTAATAAATATTAAGATCCACAGTAAAATTAATAATTGTAATTAACAAGTCTAATTTTTAAGTTCATGTAACATTAGTTTTACCTATTAATGGATAGTTACACTACGTGGCACTGTTGACGTGGTGTAACGGTTACAATTCATCGTTCACGCCAAGATCAAATGCAAAAACAAACCGACTTTGTTCTTTTTTTCCTGAAGGTCAGCTATGTACAAACAAAAAACTATTCCAAAAGTCAAAAACTTTCCTGCAATTCTTGGTAGTTAAACCGACAATCANAACTTAAAAAATAGACTTAATAATTATAACTATTGAATAAATAGTAAATTTTAATAAATATTAAGATCCACAGTAAAATTAATAATTGTAATTAACAAGTCTAATTTTTAAGTTTATGTAACATTAGTTTTACCTATTAATGGATAGTTACACTACGTGACACTGTTGACGTGGTGTAACGGTTACAATTCATCGTTCACGCCAAGATCAAATGCAAAAACAAACCGACTTTGTTTTTTTTTTCCTGAAGGTCAGCTATGTACAAACAAACAACTATTCCAAAAGTCAAAAACTTTCCTGCAATTCTTGGTAGTTAAACCGACAATCAATTGCAATATATGTAACTAGCTCCGAAAAGGTGAGCTAAAGAAACAAGCCTGTTGGAGTTATGAGCTCAATCGAGTAAAATATGCAGATCTCAAGGAATAATATTTTGAATGCTACTTGCGACGTCTATTTGTGACCATCTCGGGGTTGCCTTTCCTCATCATGGCCACGAACTCATCATAGTTAATTTTTCCATCCTGAAAAAGGATTTAGAAATACATTATTCATGTATATGATGATTTNGCTCAATCGAGTAAAATATGCAGATCTCGAGGAATAATATTTTGAATGCTACTTGCGACGTCTATTTGTGACAATCTCGGGGTCGCCTTTCCTCATCATGGCCACGAACTCATCATAGTTAATTTTTCCATCCTGAAAAAGGATTTAGAAATACATTATTCATGTATATGATGATTTTGTGTACTAGTAGAACTGCATTGTCAGCAGAAACATGATCAAATCAAGGCATGTAGTGTAACCCACCATGTGAGTCATTTTCATTCATTGAGCATTCATTATATTCCTAAAATTATGGTGAAGACAGAGAGAGACTTTACAGATAAGCATACTGTGTTACCATAAGCAAAGGAACATACATGGTCTGTGTCAACTTCTGCAATGATCTCCTTTATTGTTTTCTCATCACCCATGTTGTAATTCTTCAAGGCATGCTCTAATTCATCCATCGTGATATGGCTAAATTTAGAGGCAAAGATCAAAAACAGCAGAAAATAATTAACATGTGCTTTACATGATTCATCAAAACGTATTTATGCAGCATAACATGATAAGAACTTAATAGGGAGGCTACCCGCTCTTGTCCTTGTCAAAATATTCAAAAGCTCTGTACAAGTGGTCTTCTCTTTCCATTCGATTCACATGCATTGTAGCTGTTATAAATTCAATATAATCAATTGTTCCATTTCCATCCACATCAGCCTGAAAAGGCAACCAATCTTGACACTTCAGTTACTATGAAACAAATCATGAAAACTGCCAATGTATATGACATGTTATTCATCCAGAGGCATCATTAGACGTGATGGGAGTTAGTATCCCTTATCCAGAGATGCTATCGTAATATCACAAAATTCTATTTCCCATGATGAACTTTCGGGAAAATAAGTAATCAAGAAATGCTTGTTTAATGAATTAAGAGGCATGTACGAGAAAAGCCACAGCTGAGCCATGTGGTTCGGTAGAGACTATAAAGTTTAGGGCAAACTTCACTTTACCCCCTTGTAGTATACCTCAAATCTGCATAACCTCCTTGAAATTTAACAATGTCCACATAACCCTCATATGGTTTATGAACTAAAATACAACCCCAATATTTCCGTCAAAGTTAATTCGAGGTGTGATACACACGCCTCTTCTGAGAGTGGACATGTATAAAACTATTTTTAGAGACAAAAAAGTCCTAAAATTTTTGAATTTGCAAAACATGTCATAAGNAGTACAGACTATAAAGTTTAGGGCAAACTTCACTTTACCCCCTTGTAGTATACCTCAAATCTGCATAACCTCCTTGAAATTTAAAAATGTCCACATAACCCTCATATGGTTTATGAACTAAAATACAACCCCAATATTTCCGTCAAAGTTAATTGGAGGTGTGATACACACGCCTCTTCTGAGAGTGGACATGTATAAAACTATTTTTAGAGACAAAAAAGTCCTAAAATTTTTGAATTTGCAAAACATGTCATAAGCTTCTCTTTTTGGTTGGCCAGAAATCTGAAACAAAACTTTGTATAACCCCAAGCAATTTTGACAATTATTGTTCAGATTATAACTGAAAAACTACTACTTGACTCACCAGCTATAGACTTATCTTTAATTTACCTTAATTTACAAGGTGAAGATGACGAGTTTTGGTTTTAACTAATGTAAGGACACGAACTAAGTTTACCTTGTCCATCATTTTCATTTCTTTTGTGATGAGCCTCGCTAGGTATGGATATTGAGTTTCATTCAATTTGATTTGGATTCGAGATTCACTACATTTGATTTTGGCACTAGTTGAATGAGGTTTTTGTCATCGATGTGGGGATTGGGTTTGGCAGCGACCTTCTGTTTGGTTGGTAACAAGATTTTGATTTTGAATCAAATTGTTCCTGAGAAGTGGAAATGGTTGTGAAATGTGGCGGTGGTATTTGGGTAATGGTTAATTAGGTAGATGATTGTGAAATGGGTCTTTGTTTGACTTTGATTTGGATCTAAGAAAGATTTTGATGTTTGGTTTTTGATTTTTTTAATGTGGTGGGATTGTTCATTTGCATGTTGTTGGTGATTTTCATGGCTTGATTGTGCTGTTGATTTATACAACAATTGGAGACGGTGGCTTTAGTGTGGTAGCAATGGTGGTGTAGTTGATGGTTGCAAAGAAGAAATGATAACGAGATAAAAAGGACATAGGGGTATTAAAGTCATTTTACTAGCAATAACAACACAGTTAATGGTGCATTTTAGTCCATAAACCACCTGAGGGTTAGTGGACATTTTTAAATCTCAAGGAGGTTATGTGCATTTAGGGTATAGCACAAGGAGGTAAAGTGAAGTTTGCCCTAAATTTTATTCAAGTTGAATGTTATACGAAAAGGAATGGTCCTAGATTAAGATGAATGGCCATATGAACATTGGTAGTGAACCATAGGTACTTGGGATAACCATTTGGGCATACTGTATGGTAAACAATTGAAACTTGCAGGTTTAGTATGAATGTGCATGTAAGCAATATCTAACTTAATGTTAAACTATTTCCAGTTTATTAGCCCAAATCAGAAGCTTTTACAGCCTTGAGCACCTTTGTCTAGCTATCATCCAATTGGGTGATCCTCATGTTGAATTTTCTAGGATTAAGACCAAATATCAGGACCAAGGCTCCAAAAGAATGATAAATCTGGGGCCAGCATAACATTCTCTACATAGAGAGACAGAGAGAGAGAGGAAACAATACCGCTTCCATCAACTGCCTCACTTCTGACTCGGAAAGCTTGGTACCCAGTTTTGGAAGGCCAGCTTTCAACTCTTCAAAAGTAATTGTTCCACTGTTATCTGTGTCCATTGATTTGAAAATCTCCTTCAAACCAATGATTTCTTCTTCAGAAAGATTCTCTGCAATTACCTAAAACCACAACACAGTAAATTCACATAAAGCTCCAAGAGTTGAACTTTGGTGCTGTGGTTGATATCAAGGAGAAGTGAATTAAGAAAGTGAATACTTGATTAACAGCAGAAACCGTAACAAAAGATACTCTCACCTTCAGAGCTACTTTTTTGAGTTTGTTCATTGCCCGGAACTGCTTCATTCTACTTAAGACAGCAATGTCAATGGGTTTATCAGATGCATCACCATCTTCTCTCATCCATGGATGATCTGCATTCATTCAGTGGTTGCATTTCATTATCTAGTCTACAGAATGTGTGGAACTCTTAGCTTATGTTTCAGAGAAATGTATTTTTTGACATTCTGATCCACAGAAAAACCTAGGGAAAAAGATCTTTAGGTACATATATTGGTTGCAGGGAAAGCAGCAAGTAGAAGCCAAGCAGGATGTACAAATCATTTAAGTAAAATGACAAAAGTTTCACAGGTCAATTTGCCACCTTCCCTTCGTATGTCTTATATTTGAGTTTTGTAGTTGCACTGATAGAGATAACTTAAGATTGAACTGGGCAGTACTCATGCTTTCTGGTCTAAATGTGGTACAAGAGTTATTTATGGGGAATTACATATCTTGACAAGTTTTCCAGGATTGAAACTTACTTAGGACGTCTACAGCAGAAATCCTTTCTTTAGGATCAGCTTGTAGCATTTTCTTCACAAGAACTTTGGCACTGCTTGATATGGATGGCCAAGGGTCTGAAGAGAAATCAATATGTCCCCGCAAAACAGCATCAAAGATACCCTGCTCATTCTCTGCATATGAAGGGAAAAGAGAGAAGGTTGCAAGGTGCAACATGATGGAGTAGTATTGATCAAGTGAATAAGTGGCACAAAGAAAACTAAGTTAACGAACAAAGAATTCTTGGAATTTGATTCAGCCACAAAAGTGCAGTCACTGGAGACCTTTCATCCTTGAGTATTAGCTTTAGGTCAAGTCCTAATACATGCTGATGTAGTTTAGGATACAGCTGCTTAGTTTCTACTTTCAAGTATGTTAGAAGCTATCAAGTTCCATGAGTCTAAGAAACCCTCACCCTAGGCGTGATGCCAAGAGGATTATAGGGGTGATTCACAGAGGTTCATCCTCTTCTCTTATTTATTTGTCCTGCAGCTTAGATCCAAAGTCCAGCCAGATCCAATATCCCATATCAACCCATTATCTTCTATCATCACCATCCAAACCTAGCACACCAACCTCAACAGGCTTAGTAGCCCAAATTTTGTTCTTTCTTACACTGATTCAAGCCCCAGAATTTACCTCTTCTGTTACATCTTTTACAAACCCTATAGAAATTTTTGTCAACGTTTAACCACAAAACAAAGCCAAGATAAGCCCCAAAACCGTTTTCCTTCCCCTGTCCAAAATGTAGATTTGGTGCTTCAAATCACACGAGGGTCTACCCTGCAATGTCCTATAGCATGCATAGATGCAGTTCGCCCTCTGCGATGCGTACAGGGTTGTCATTAAGACCAAAATAGTCAAGTCACAAGGCTCATAAAACAACTTAGCAGATTCATATTAGTTTTCTAGTAACCAATGATCATCGCAGCACACGTGACTAAGATTTTTAGAGATTGAAGACAGCAGTATTGAGGATCCTTTAATGATTATTAATGTTTGATCCACACCTACAACATGGTGGATAAGAAAATTCATCACATATACCGTGCCCACATATATACACCTATCTAAACCATGTTTACCCACACAAAAAAAAAATAAAAAATAAAGCCAGATAGAGTGCGCAAGAGAGGGAAATGAAGGGAAGGGAGATAACTTAAATGTTATATTTTATCTGATCATCTCATCAAGAGAAAAGTACCAGCCCAAAATGGTGGGACACCACAAAGTAAAATATATAGGATCACTCCAGCACTCCAAATATCAGACTCCATTCCGTAATTACGCCGCAACACTTCAGGGGCCACATAATATGCACTTCCAACAAGGTCTTGAAATAAATCTCCTGCACCCACAAACCATCTATGAGTTCAAAAACATCACCAGAAAGCCCAATAAATAGATAAAAGTGATGCAGTAATGAGCAGGGTGAGGCTATATCTAGACCAAGCGGGTACACAACCCGATCCCCAAGTTTTGAAATTACCTTTTGGCCTCCTACCTCTAGTGAACAATTATTGAAACGACTGACATGGACATTTTGAAGTATTAATATTCTAATATGGCCTGGTTAATCCTAGTTTAGAACTTTAAAACTTATAGATTGCTCTCCCCAGGTCCAAATCCTGGCTTTTCCCCCTCATAACGAGGAAGCTCAATAAAAATGTGAATGCACGACTAAAGAAAAAAAACACAACCAAGAAATTGTATCATGGTGGTCCTATATCATTGCCATCTATATAAAATTTGGCCAAAGGTATATAAGGGAAAAGTGATAGTGAGGAAAAAGGAAGACGCTTAAAGATGACTGAAGAGACGACTATAAAAATGAAAAATGAATGAAGAGCTGCGATAAAGGCCTTGGAAAACGTTCCCTCTAAGGGGAGTACTCAGTTGGTCAATGGCTTAGACAATGTGCTGATAATGAGTCACAGTATTAACAGGAGAAAGATGCTCAAAAGTTGGTTTTGTGTGTGCAGAAGGGATATGGAGACAATGACCATGCTTTATTGTAAGTTTAATAGATAAAGGGTCTGTCTTCTGTCATTATGCAAGTTATGTTGTCTCACAGTTAGATGCTTCACGTGGTAGCTTCATTATGAAGACAGATTCAGCATTTTGAAGAGTTATTTGGCCTTCTTCTTCTCTCTATTTCGCTCTAATTCATTAGCAAGAGAACAACATAGTTGTGTTCTCATGTCCATCGACAGAACAAAAAGGGAAATGAACCTAAATGTACGTGGACAAACATAATCACAATTCTTTCATTAAAAATCATGAAGAACGTCATGAAAGCGTGACAAGTTAGACTCCTAATATACTATAACAATTCCGCCTAACAAAATCTAGGATATGATCCAAAAACATGGGCTTGTACTTACCCTAAGTTATTTTCTTCATCCAGTAATCACTTTGGAGATAAATCAATATTAATATTTCTTCATAAATGCAATGCTTGGTTGAAGATAGTAACTAAAATTCTTACTAGTAAGATTTTGGTCGTAGTTGATGCTTCGTCCTTCAAGTTATGCACCTAATCACTGGACCACTGAAATGGGTAAATGTATATTCCAAGGCAATTGTAAGCTATATTTCACAATGTGCTCTCTCTCTCTCTCTCTCTCTCTCTCTCTCTCTCTCTCTCTCCATAAAATTATTCCAGCCCTAAATCAAGTCGATTTCTCCTATCCGAAAAAGAAAGAGCATATTATGTTCAAAAGAAGAGGCTATCAACATCACAACACATCCATAAGCATTTCATCTTCAAAATTAAGTTTGCAATAATAATAACGTAAGGCTCACATTGATCATAAATTCATCGAGAGATGAAATTAAATACCTGGTTTAAAGAAAACTGAAAGCCCAAAATCCGTGGCCTTCAAGGGCGAATCCTCATCAGAACTCAAGAACAAGAAGTTTTCAGGCTTCAAATCTCTATGCATCACACCCATGGAATGACAATTATGCACCACAGTCACAATCTGCCTACACAGACTCGCCGCCGCACGTTCCGAATAATGTCCCTTCGCAATAATCCGATCAAAAAGCTCGCCGCCGGCACACAACTCCATTATCAAGTTCACCGACTGACGATCCTCGTACGCGTCTTTGAGCTCTACGATGTTCCGGTGTCCGGTCAAGTGGTGCATGATCTGGACTTCGCGTCGGACGTCTTCGACGTCGTCTTTGTTGATGAGTTTCCTCGTGGCGATTGACTTGCACGCGAATTGTTTATTGGTGGTCCGGTGGGTTGCGAGGTAGGTTACGCCGAATTGGCCGCGACCGAGCTCGCGGCCAAAAATGTATGTAGAGCGGACGTCTTCCATTGGCCGGCCAAGGACTCTGCCGGTACCGGAGAGTGTCTGAGAGACGATGGTGGACTGTGGGGCATCGGAGGTGCGAGAGTTATTGCCGGTGGTGGAGGCTGAGTCAGGGCGGACTTGGGTTTCGGAGGTGGGTACGCCATTGCGGTTACCCATTTGTGCCTATACGAGTGCCAAGTCAAAGTGGGTGTGAGACACTATATAACAGTAGGGTGTCCTGTCCGAAGACGAGGTTGCGAAATGACTGAAATAGCCTTTCTTACGAAATGACTAAAATGAATTAGACGGCCGGCCTTCAGAATCTTATTAGGGGAGATTTTGTCCCGCAATTCGCTGCTTGTTTGGTGCGTTGGAATTTAATTATAGGGGTAATTGTAGTGGAGGTCTCTAAATAATAAAATTTTTAATATTTTAATTATACTACTTTGATGTTTGAAATATTAAATACATTTTTATGAGACTTTTCAAGCGGAAATATTCAAATTTTTAACGATTTTTTATCATAAAATTGTCAGTTGATGCCTAAATATGAGCAAAAAATAATTTAATTAGTTCTTAAAAAAAATGTATAATATTGGTAGCTCTTAATCAAAATTGTGTAATTTAGATAGCTCTTTGACCAAAATTTGGATATAAATTTGGTCAAGAGTTATCCAAATTAGTTTTTTATTTATATTTAGGTATTACGTGAAAAGTTTCTAGTAAAAAATCGTTAATAATTTGGATGTTGTCTACTGAGGGACCACATAAAAATATATTTATTACTTCAAAAATTAAAATGATACAATTGAAATATTTGAGACAAAAAAGAGACAAACTACATATTTTAGAAATTTCTAATGCAATTAACCCATAATTATGCACCTCAATAAATATTTTTTTCTTTTCTTTTAATAATAAATGTTGATTTGAATTGGTCGAATGAATGCTTTAAATTTAATTTTAATTCGGATAATAAAATTATTTAGATTTTTATTGAGCAATCCGTCTATATTTTGGTTTCATTATGAACTTCCACCAGCAAAGAGCAGTAGAACCAATAAAAAGAAGAGATGCGTTTGCCGGGAGTCGAACCCGGGTCTATTGCTTGGAAGGCAATTATCCTGACCGTTGGACTACAAACGCCTTCTTGTGGGAAGTTTCTATAATAATTTATATGTCTCAAAAATCCACCTAGAGTCTTAAGTCTAAACGCTAGGAAACAAACCTGTTGTTCACTGTCACTGGGTACCTAAAAGAAAAATATAAAAAGCAACCCCATGCATGTGGCTCACTTTAGATTTGGGTGAGAGTTATATGTAGACACTATTAGTCTACATTTTAATTGTTCAAGTTACGATAAAACAATATTACGGTCATGTCAAAATTCATCTTATTTCTTGAGATAACACTATCAAACGACATTCAACGGAGCTATCATCCAATTTCAGGGTTTTATTTCGGCAAATGAAATCCAGTGCAATCACCATAAAAGCTGTACCAAGTAACTTACTGCTTAATCAACTAAACATGCCACTTGCACGCCTATTGTATTTCTGAATAATCTGTAATTGGAAGGAGTACTTGGGTAATCCAACAGAAGGTAATCTTCCTCTATTCACACACAAATCGTAATCCTAACAATTGGCATTAAGCTTAGGTTATCTCGAATACCAGATTGACCTCATGAAGACTGCATTGGCTTGTCCAAGATGTAGCTCAGCTGTCTGAACCCGACGGAGATGCAGACCTTCACATAGGAGACTTCAATACTGGACAAAACAAAACCAAATGTCCCAGTTCTGTATGCAACAGCTTGTACCATCTTAAACCAAAAGCCTTATTATAAATAAAGTGCCTAATCGATTCACACTAGACATATTTACAAGAACCAAACTCGCTTGGCATTGCCAAATATTCACAAAGAAATACCAATGACCTGTACTCAAAGGCTAACTCTAATCCTAGCTGACTTCGTTTATTGCCACATGAGTGGTAAGACGCAACACCTGAAATTCCCACCATTTATAAATGAAATAAAACAGTTTTTCATAACCAAACCACTTGACAAACTCGAAAGGCAAAGGACGCCAATATGCAGAGGAACTCAACCGACCACCAAAACCTAATTGAAAGTGCAGGGTAGGTAGAGAAACTGCATTACATCCACCTCTGAGGCATCATGTAAGATTCCTCTGGTTCAGATGGACCACCACCTATGCTCTTGCCGCTGCCAAAGCCAAGACCTGAACTACCTGCCAGCATTGACAGCAAACTTCCCCCATGCACCCTTCCTTCTGGAATCATAACTGAAGAGCCGCCTCCATCTGGCAGACTAGCTTGCTGGACTCCAAAATGTTTCCAACGAGAACCATTATAGCCAACACTGCTCTCCAAGTTCATGACATCAATTCTCATGTCATCAGCATAGACAACCTCTTTCATCTTCTCAGGTTTGCCAGGTTGTGAATCCTGCACCATATTTCCCAGACTACCACCCCCGTGAACCCTTTTGTCCTGCACTAGGGCACCATGGGATGCACACATCCCAGTCTTCCCCCTAGCATGTGACTTACANAGAGAGAGAGAGAGAGTGTTCGGTGTTTGGAGGTGTGGGAAACTGCGGATAGAAATTAACGGATTGTGACGCAGCGCATGTTAAAAAGATCGGCGTACGTTAAGCCGTGGCCTACGGCCTGATAAGACAATACCATCCATGCGCAAACCAAAATGGGTACGAAATTAATGAATGTGTTAATTACAAAATGCTCTTTTTAAATTTAGATCAAGTTATAATTCACTTCATCTAGTTTGAATTTCATTAAATTACTCCCTTAAAGTTTGTACATTTTTTTAATTAACTCAAATTGTTAGTTTCGATAGTGAAAAATAATAGAAATGAAATCACATGATCTCATATTTATTAAAAAAGAAAAATTACCCCGAATTTGAAAAAAAATTCTCACGACAAAAAATTCCTAATTCTTCTTCTGACAAAATATTTATGAGATCATGTGATTTTCGAGTGAATATTTTTGGTCATTTTTCACTTTCGAAATTAACAACTTAACTTAATTCACTAATATTTAAATTTTGAGAGGATAAATTATTGAAACTAAAATCAGAGAAAGTTGATTGAATGTGACTTAAACTTGAAAAGGGTATTTTATGATTAACACAAAATTTAAATAGACTATGGATAAATTTATTTGATCTCTCAAGTTAGTGAGTCATAGAAATTTAATCAAATATAATATAAATTTATTAAATATAATTTATACACGACATAAAATTGATATCTTATAAACCTAATTATAAATAGACATAATTTAAATTGACTAAATTTTGACATAATATAACTTTAAAAAATACAAAATAATATGACACAACCGGTTCAATTTGAAGGTTTAAGGTTTTGATTAAAAATTTAATTCTTTAATTTTAGAATTTAATTTTTACACTTTTTTATCAAAGAATTAAACTTAATTTTTTTATTCATGAATTATAGTATTAATTTCACAATCTGTATATTTTGTAATAATTGCATTGAGTATTGTCCAATAAATTATTTATTAATGACCGAAGAATACAAACTTTCTACGTATGATCGTCACGAACTAAATTATAATCAAATTACTTTGGATTAATTACCAATCGTAGTAATTGACGATTATGCATTAGTTTTATAATATTGTTCTTGGATATAATTGTGATACTGTTAAAAAAAATTGCTACCATATCTAAATTCTAAGTCGTAGATTATTATTTGATAAATTTTTAGTCATTAATCATAAAAATCTTAATATTTTATCAAACAAAAAATAAAAATATTATATTTAAATTTATTTTTTATACCATAATTAGATAATATTGTTGTCAGGTATGTTGGCGAGTGCACGGTGTGACACGTCAAGATGCGTAGGGTGTAAGTTATTTTGACTTCCCTAGGAAATTTCGAATGAACTTGGATGTTGTTCCTGCTACATTCGTAGTTCTAGACCTAGTCGNTGACACGTCAAGATGCGTAGGGTGTAAGTTATTTTGACTTCCCTAGGAAATTTCGAATGAACTTGGATGTTGTTCCTGCTACATTCGTAGTTCTAGACCTAGTCGGCAGCGCCTCGTCACCGTTCGTGGTGCATTCGCGCTCGCTCTCTCTCTCTCTCTCTGCTTGGACGCTACAATTAATAACTCTTCCTTACATTAAATAAATAATCGGTGGACAAGTCTCTCTATCGTCTTTTATTATTTTTGTGTATATTTTAATTATTATCATTTTTATGATTCTTGCGATTGATTTTAATTTACAAAAATAGTAAATTATTTATAAAAATTGTAAATATTTTTATTGTAAAATAACTCACAAAAATTATAAATATTTTTATTATAAAAATACTCATAAAAATTATAAAAATATTTATTAAAATAATAAAATTTAGAATTACGTACCCATTTTTTTTGTTCAATACAGTAGTAGTGAAGTCCACAGTCGGTGGGCCTGCTGCGGCGGTTTTTGCTTTTAAATTACTTATTCAATGATCGCGTTTGCCCCATTCCCCTGATTACCCAGATATTTTTGACGTACCAAGGACGAAATCCAATCTAAGTTGATGATATTTTCCACCCAATCTATATAGGAAAAAACAGACTACGGTTAAGTACCAAAAAATTTATTTTTTTATGGTTAATTTATACCTTTTTTTAACGTGTAAGTTATAATTTTAAAAGGTATGAATAACTATGAAAAGTTAAAATCGATATCGAGAGTTCGTGATCGATTATGAGTGTCTGGTATTGATAACATCATTTCCTTGAGCAGTTGTATCTTCTATTTTTAAAATTGTAACTTTATTATAAAAAGTAGTAACAAGTAGTACGATGGTGAATTTTTTTCCCCCCCATAAAGTTAGACTTTCCCATTTATATAATAAGAGGATTAAATAATTAAATTTTATCTTCACATATCTTTTCGTTCATTTTTGTCACATCACTTATGATATTAATTTTTGATTAATTTGTGATTTAATATAATTTTTATTTTGAACATTATTCATATACAATAATATACACATGCTTATATTTTTTTGATGTCATATATTCTAAAAAAATTTATTTTAGTGATATTTAAATTTTATGTTGTATCGGATTTTCAAGTACAAGTTGATAAGCCCGAAATTAACTGGACTCAAATAGGAGCTCAATCTGAGCTAGGTCAACCCATAGGAGGAGGACCAAATTACCAAGAATGGACCAGCACCCAGGACAAGGGCACGCCGCCCATAGGTAGCGCCNTGTGATTTAATATAATTTTTATTTTGAACATTATTCATATACAATAATATACACATGCTTATATTTTTTTGATGTCATATATTCTAAAAAAATTTATTTTAGTGATATTTAAATTTTATGTTGTATCGGATTTTCAAGTACAAGTTGATGAGCCCGAAATTAACTGGACTCAAATAGGAGCTCAATCTGAGCTAGGTCAACCCATAGGAGGAGGACCAAATTACCAAGAATGGACCAGCACCCAGGACAAGGGCACGCCGCCCATAGGTAGCGCCCATGGGCTGGCTCCCCAGCTCTTCTTCATCCTTCTCTTTCTCTTCCGCGGGGTATTATTGAAATTACTTCGACTCAAGTTCAATCCACTCCAACTCAAAGCCCATACTCAGGATGAAGCTCAATTTAACTCAGGATCATCTTTCAACGGAATAAGAACACGAGTGAGAGATTATTGGGATACGGAGATTCAATCCTACCAAAATTATACTTACCAAAATGATTAAAACCCCTTTTCTCACATCACTGCCTTAGTGAATCTATATAATGTAAGCCCTCAACACATAGAGGGCATGACTTTGAGACCTCTACAAGATTCTTACACACACTACACCTTCCTACACACATTATTTTTCTCTCCACACCATTGTAATACTCTCGGAGCATACTCTCNTTACACACACTACACCTTCCTACACACATTATTTTTCTCTCCACACCATTGTAATACTCTCGGAGCATACTCTCCCAGAGATTCTATTCATCGATAAAACATCCCAGGCCAATGCTGCCATTCCAGAGAGTAGAATAAGTTATCCGGACTGAACCACTATAAATTTGTATATTTTACTCTTATTTATTGTTTTACTATTGATTGTCTATTTATTGCTCATTAACTGCATCTTTACACATTTTTGACTGTTAATTTTGCGCAAAATCAATTTGTGCATCATCATAAGTTACTGCAAGTAGATTCATTTGATAAGAAAAAGAAAATAAAGGGACTAATTATCACTAAAAAAATAAATTGCATTATTATCAAATATGAATAAATTAGTTTTTGAAATGACAAAACATGATTTAATAAAAACAAGTTTTTCCTCCAAAACATCAAAATAAAAAGAAAAAAGTTTTAAATTTTATCTTTTATTTTTTTTATTTCTTGTCTAATAATATAAGAATTATTATAAAATCAACTAAGTTATGTTTTGTTATATAATTAGAGATAACCAATGTCTGAAGATACAATACAATGTGAATAATTTTGAAAGAGATATTAGTGATTATTAGATGAGTCAATTTGAAACCATCGAATAGACTTATTTAAACCCTACTTTATATTATAGATGTAGATCAGATAAAATTTTAATTTGTGGACCTTAATATATAGTAGATTTGGGGAAAGGGACGAGAGATTTAGTATTGAGTTTTTAGAATCTTAAGTTACATGACTAAGATCCAAATATGACTAAACTTAATTGGTCACTTTTTATATTCTCAACTAAAAGGCTAGAGGGGGTTTGCGCTGACTTCTCTCAGTCACGTAACTCGAACTAATTTTAAGAATATGTCTCCTGAGGAACAAGATGACCGACTCTTAGGAGGTGTGAAAAATATCGAACTTCAGACTTCTTAATTGTTAAAAAAAACAGAACTTGACTACTGAATCACCCATTAGAGTTATGCCAACTATTCGATTGAGAGTGAGATTGGATTATTTACCCAAAAAAAAGCAAAAGAGAGTGGGGATTCGAATTTATTTTTTAACATTGAAATAAAATAAAAGCTCACCGATGAAAGTGATACACTCACAAAAAGAGTGGTGGTAAGAGGGTCTCAAAATACACACGACATCTTAGTTAAGAAGGTTCACATATAGTGTTACTAATCAAAAGGTCAAAGAGAATTGATTCTTCTTCCACCGTACTGATCTCTACCAACCATCCAATGTTGACTATATATCCCATTTTCGATAAAGAAATTGAACATTCTTCTGTTCTGTAATGATACCCAGAAAATAAACAAAAAAAAAATTTTCTTCTTCAAGAGCCACTTTTTAACAGTAAAAGTCTGAGGGAGTACTCCGACAAAATCTGGGGAAATCTTGTCTTGATGGACAGAACGAGTTTGGGTGTCATTGAAGCTTGGATATGAAAGTGTAAAGCTTCTGGTTTCAAACAAATTGGCTACAAGATTATACTAATAAATATCTATCAACGGGTCTTTAATTCATTGGTATTCATTGTATTTGTGAATGTTTATCTTCCTGACCTCAAGGGTTTAAGCCCATTTCCTCCCTCCCCCTCCCAAAAAAAAAATAATAATAATAATAAAAGAAAAAAAAAATATCTACGAGCTAAGCGTTATACACCTCATAAATCCTTGAGGACAGCATACGGAATCAAAGTGGGTGGCCAGGGATGGAAGAGAGGGGAATGTTGCTGATTGCAGTGGGAAAGAGAAGGATATATAATGAGAAAAGGAATAGAGATTGAATTGCAGTGTGCTGCCAAGGACGGAAGAGAGAGAGAGAGAGTTGATAGGCGAATGTGATATGTCACACCACTTAAGAGCATGCATTCAAGGTTTTATACAATATAAAAGGTTTCAAAATTCAGTTAACAAACGATAGGGACATAGTTTGTAACTGCTATGATAGGTGTGCCAACGACTCGATGTAAGGCTGGTGTGGCTCAGAGGCACTGGACCACTCTCGTCTGGTTTGGTGATTGTTAGGTCTTGAATTCGAACCTCATAAAAGTAATGACTCTAGATTATCAAAATAGGCTACCATATAGGTTTCCCTGGCTAGGCAAGTAAGATGAAATATGCTTACTTGCAGCTGGGCATGGTTAGGGGTGTGCTTCCTTGTGGTTAGGGTGCTACCTCGGTCACCAACCCTACAATTTTTCCAAAAGTGAAAAGAGAAGTTACATGTGTGACTGATTTATTGGGTGGGGAATTCGAGGGAATAAGGTAACTACTAAAGGATCTCAGTTCAGGGAGACAATGGGGTTCAATCTATCTCTAGACTTCCCAACAATTCTAGGCGAAGATTGTGGTAGATGACTCAAGCTTGAACATGTACATGTTTATTTTCTGAGTGCATGCAATTCATCTAACTTATATGCCATATGATATAAAATTGCCCCACTCACCATAAATTCTCTAGGTGGAATCAAAGTATCTGAAGTAATCAACATATAGAAGCAAATGCTGTTTGTTCGAATGACTTAATAGAAGCTTACAAAATTTGCTGTCTGAGGAAGAAAAAATGTGCTCATCCCTAAGTCACAATCTCGGCCAATGTTACTGCAGCAAAGATGAGAAAAAGGGTACCTCCCATATATGCAATAACCTGCCCAAAGAAAAGCACAAGTGAATAATTTCCTATGTAACATGCCTGAATAACCAAAAAAAAGTAAATATAAAGGAACTTCATCTGGTGCAAGTCAGATGCCGAGGTAACTCAATCACACATTGCAGCAAAAATAAGCAGCTCAATTTAAGTTTAACAAGCCATCTAGCTAATAGACGGTATAAACCATATATAGAGATCTGTATGTGGATATCTGATGGGAAAAAATAGACGATCAGCTACCAAATGAGTAACCTGTTGGCTGTATTTCACACTTTGGTAGCCAACTTCCATATGTGTAGTGCTGAAGTCAGGAAATTCCTTGAGTAGGGTAAGTGATAAAATGCAAAACTCTGTCCTGGCTTCAATTTTGGTTATAAAACGGTGGGTTTTGATATATCCAAAGCTCAAATGGTAGCAAGTCAAAAAAAATAATAATGTGCATAATACAAATAAGAAAAATAACTCGCTCTACAATTAGTCCCCTCTTCTCCTGTGATCTCTCTCTCTCACACACAAATAAACCATAGCATGAGATATTTTCTGGATTCAACAAAATCTCAAAATTCGATCTTTCATGTCTTGAATTACAAGAAGATGAGATCAACTTGCAACTTTAGTTTTACAATTTTGTGCAACCCTATAAATATTTAATATTGAGGGATCCCCCTATTTCTTTAGGAAAGCAAACTATCCAATAACATTAATTTTTAGTTTCCTAATTTTGGATGGGGTCATTTAATCCCACTGGGATGCATGTGGCTCATCCCATGGTTCTTTCACAAATTTCGGTAGGCCTAGTTCACAGTTTATTGCCGAGGAAAGAAAAGGTCTTAGATTCAGAAGCTCACACAGTAAGAAGGAGATTGGCCAAAATTCTGGGTATAACCAAACATGTATTTAAGGACAGCTGTGGACCGATCTGTTACTAATTATCATATATCCACTTCACTGTTCTTACATAAGGCTTCAGGTCTCGCTATTTTAACAAGTTGAGAACTCTATACAGTGTTAGATTAAATGTAAACTAAATTTGTTTCATCATAGGATGTTAGGTTTTGCAATGTTGGTTTTCAATGTTCGCAACGCACAGACAAGGACAGCATACTCAGATGAACCGTACTGGTGTTAAAAGCTTAGGAAAAACTAGTCACTTCATGGATGATTTTGGGTAATGAGTGTGGTAACCTCACCTTCTCAGATAAGAAAGTGCCCAATAAAGAACCTCCCAAAACAGCAAGCTGCAACACACCATTAGTAATGATCAGCCTAAATGCATAATGTTGTAGAAAATAAAAGGAAAAAGATAATACCAATGGGTGACAAAGTGTGACGTTGTTAACTATTATACCAGTCCAGACTCATGATTTGTTAAAACCTTGCCAATCAGAGGTCTTCAAGGAACCAGAACAGTGTACTAAAATGGAATAAAAACTAGTATTTTTTCTGCATTGCCAAATAATGGCAGGTTTCTTCTTGGAAAGCAGGCTGCAAATATTAAATCTAATTTTCCTAGTTCTCATCTAACTTCTCAGCAAAAATTGACAAAAGTTTGTTTTTTAATCACGAAAGGAAACTTCCAATTTATTGCTGATACATTAACTTTAAAATGGTTGCCAAAATGCCGAGTCAATTTTTTTTTGAAGTTTACCAAAGTTGCAACTCCATGACCAGCCAGTGCTCCCCCAATGACTCCAAGTGGTGAAGAGGCTGCAGCAAGTGCTGGATAAGAAGATTACTTGTGTCAGTAGGGAACATGATGGCCAAGACTTGAGCAAGACTTGCATCCAGAGAAGGATACAGAAACCTATACATCAGGCATTGGAGGGGGTAGTGCAGAGGAGTTTACCTGCTTTATTTGGTTGCTACAAAATGTAGGAAAGAAAAGAAATTAACATTCCAAACTCCATAAGAAACAATAACCCTCAATGAGCTAATCTCACCCCAATAAGGGTCAGGATACTATTCAACTTGCCAGCTTGATTTGAGTAGTTACTTGTCTTGCTATTATAATTATTTAAAAACCTGAAACACCATCACACTATCTGATTCATAAATTAGTTTTCCTCTGCCTGTAAACCACATGAGGTGTAGCATTAAATAATTCAGATCCAATTGCCCAAATCTTTGAATGTGGCATTTCAACACATCCAGTAAAATGGTTGAATGGACCAGAAAAAACTAGCAGAGTCCAATTGTCTGATGGAACAAAAATCATAAACCTGTGCACTATCTTCTCATTGAGACGGGATCCTTTTGACTTGATGGAATGCAAATGAACTTATACAATTCATTTCAAGAGTTCAATGATACGAAAGTTAACACTATCTAATCATCATATTTTATTGGTGATTGACCCCAATAGTTTGTGATGACTAATTTTTTTTTTATGATTTTTCAAGGATAGACTTTGTCTACAGTACGCATTAAGCTTTTTCACTTGAGAGCTAAAAATATCTCCTCCTCTTCTTTTTTCTTTCAAACGAAAAAACCTCCTCAAGTGTTTCCATTCAAATAGGCTCATCTTTGATCTGCATTGGCAAAGTGTGGCCATATAGGGACCATGAATAGCTTGGATGTTAGATATGTAAAACGAGAACTAAAAACTTCCATTATTTGGGGTAATATCAGCCTGCAATTTAAAAAAAAAATAGGTTTGCAGCTTCATCACTCACCTATTGTGGAGAAAAATGATTTGTCACCCCATTCAGCAACAAAAACTAGCAGGAAAGTGCTTATGATTGTGTTAGCAGCAGCCAAAATCCCAGCACCATCACCTGAAAGTTCTGAAACTGCCAACTCTGCCTGGTTCACGGTATAAACATGACATGCGGTTCAGAAAATATCCCCTTTTACACTCCAGACTTGCTGGTGAAATCATTTCTGTGTGATGAAATGGGAAATGAAGTAGATAGTAGAACAAGGAATATCTCAGTTTTAGAAATCATCTCAATTGTCATAATAAATTTAGATATTCTGCAAAATTTCCAGATCTAAGTGGTAACTTGATTCTTCACATAATAAATATAATATCATTACAAACATATAACAAAACTGAGATATTGTTGATCGCGTCGTGGACGATAGAACACCATAATCAGTCTCCCCTTGGAAGAAACTAAAAAGGCATACTTTTGAGGGGCAAGGATCAAAATTTTGTTTAGGTGCATAATTTTGATCACCTAGGAAACGGAAACGTTTCGACCTATTTCGAAAACAAAATGAAAAAAAACAAAAAATTTAAGAATTATTTTTTTAAAACATTGATTGAAATATACCAAAATATCTTGAAACATTCCGAAATAATTGTGCAAATGCATTGAAATATAACAAAACATTATGAAACACTTCAAAGTATTACAATGTCGATTCTATCACTGATTTGTTTCGGTCTCCTTAGAAACGGAAACGTTTTGGATGTTTCGATCGTTTCGAAACGATATTTTGATCCTTGTTGAAGGAGTCTATTTTCTATACTTTGTGTAGTTGGGGTGCATCGCCTTGAGAGGTGTTTATTGGAAATACTATTTATTAAATAAACCCTTCTCATTCAGCCCATTGGGGTAACAGAAAAATGCTGGTTGCTTCAACAACTGTTGAAACTGGTGTTGGACAAATGTCTTATAGGAAAAGGGATCCTACAAATCTCACAGAGACTCCTACAGCCCGTAACACTTTTCAAGAGATGTGCAAAAATTATTAGAAGGTCAAAACTAATGTCAAAATTTTGATGTCAGGTTGCTTCCAAATCGTTGATTCATTGAACAGAAAATTTCACCTCCTTCTGTTCATCTTCTGCCCTTTGACTATCGCTGGAGGTAGCTTCAAGCAATGTTGAAACCCCAAAATACACCTGAAGCCAATTAGAACCACCAGACATGTGATGCTTTCCGATCAAAAGACAGGTTTCTGTTCAGAGTAGTGTTCTTGAGCACATGAAAAAGATTTAGTTCTTTCCATGTAGCTAAAGGTAAAAGACAAAAGGTACCAGAAGACAAACTGCAGCAATATCATCAATGGGCAAGTCAGCATCACCGAATCTGCCATTCAGAAGACTACATTAGGACAAATCTGCTGAAGTGATTGAATCATCAAATACTCAGACCAGTTAGGAAAGACGCCAGAAAAACATTCACTGAATAGGAGACTGAAGTCACGTTCTAGACAGCATGGTCCACCAATGTCATGCCTGTATATTAACCGGATATACAGGGTAATTGGACACATCATCCAATGGTCACATTAAAGAAGTTGCCTGTCATAAAAATGATGGGTTCCAAGTTTGCAAGAGCATGACATCAAAAGTGATAATTTCAAATATATGTGGCAAGATTAGGGATATTGTGTATCCATTTTTATTAATGTCAACTGAGATTGATACCCAGTCATCAATGAAGCATGCCCAATTAATTTCCCAACAAAAGATCCAACACAAATTCCTGGTATAACATGAAAAGCTCAAGGGTTGTAAAACCTGAATGGAAGGATATCGTCAACATAGTGAAAAGTACGACCAATAACAACAGATATTGTCGTCATTACCCTGCAAATGAAACATAGATGCATCTATGAGTCCAGTGAAATATATAATCCTTCAAAGGAAAGAGAACATTTCCTTGTAAGGAATCAGAAAGTCACAAGAGTTAAAACCAAATAGAACCCAATCCATTTATTTTAAGAGTAGCACACAAAATATACGCGTTTTACGAGGCACAATCACTAATCCTTCAAGATATAATATAGCTTTCGTGAGTTGTCCCTTTGATATTTTTAAGTGCATTGATTTCATAAGGAATAATATGCATAGTGAGAATATAACCGTTAAGAAAGAAAGAGTTACACGATTCATATGCACTACAAGCACTAAAAAGAAAAATAGAAACTAAAACAACTACACATTACTATCGCCTTGGTGGGCATCATAAGCAGACCCATAAAGGAGCCCACGTTGACACTAGTATCACAAGTTTTGTAGTAGTTTTTTCTTTTTCCAAGGCACAGAAAATTTGCCTTCTAATATTCTATTAGAATAACAGTGCAGTAATTCAAAAAGTAGCTTACAGTTAAAAATGAATACATGCAAGATAACTGTTGTGACATTATTAAGAGAAGACTTCAAATACAAGAGGCCATCAAAATCAACATTCATAAGCAAAACCACAAACCCAAGTGCGCCAAAAGTCCCAATGAAAACGACAGCAGCAGAGTTCCTGGCTGCTAAAAGTGCCTGCTCAAGACATTAAGCATCCAAAGTTCAGTTCAGAATATAGAGCTGAGCCACTGATGAAGTAGAATGGTTAAGTATGCCACAGATTGCCTATGAAAAACACATTATAATGAAGAAGAAAAAACTAAGTTTAGAAGTTAGCTCATATATCTCCTTGAGCTAACTTGGTTAGATATAGGGTGAGTAGCAGACAAACTATATATCATGATGTACATATACACATGCATGTTCATCCAATAACCCTAGAAAGTGGAAGAAACTTATGGAGAGAATCTCAACAAAGCTGCCAATATTTAACAGGTTTTCTCTCACCGCAATAAAAAAGGTTTTGTCCCCTAGTTCAGAGAAAAATATCAGCAAGAATGCCTGCAAAAAAAGAATTGCACCCACGATATTAGTCAGCGAATGTTTACTTGCCTGTGTGAATGTGACTTAGGTAAAAAAAAAAAAAAATGAAGAAAAGAAATCATCAATTTTGGGCCAGGCATTGCACATCAGATATAAGCAATTCTACATATAAAATGTCTCCAAAGAGCTCACATAGAAAGTTGAAAGATGACTCCAAGCATGGTACAGAACAATCAGTATGAGTTTGACCAGCAAAATTTATAAAATGTCTCCAAAGAGCTCTCATAGAATGTCGAAAGATGGATATTATGTTGTGACTGGCTTGTTTTCTCCACTTAACTTTTGCCTAATCACTCAATCACCTTAGTTTTTTTAAATTTATGTCCCCATTATAATCAATTCATGTTAACTACGAACATTGCAATGTAGACATGAACACCCTGAAAAGATACCAACATACTCTGTGTTAAGAAAAAGCAATGACAAGAATTCTAAAAATTAAAGATACCGGGAGATTCTCCTAACTGAAGCAAAACCTGTGCTAAAATCGCCAAGGTCCTCTAGAAAGGAAATCGACTGAAATCCACTAGCAAAATCTGAACTAGCAACTGCCTGCTGAGTGCCTTGAAGAGTAAAAAACCCACAGAACAGTGCAAACTTTAGATAAGAAAAGAATGGCGTATCTAAAACTGGGACATCCGCAGGTATGTGATTTTTCTTTCTTGAATAATCCTTTGCACTGGATTTGTCTGATGTACTACAGTCGTTCATATTGTACACCACTTTTACAGCTTTGCCACTGTTGCAATTAAGGAACATGAGCTCCTGCATAAAAGTCCAACATTTCAATACCTAGAAAGCTAGGTTTCATAAATCACCAAACAGGACCTGTTAAAACATTATGAGATATTATGCTGCCAAATAGGCAAATACTTTACAATGTGGAGAGTTTCTCGATGATATAGAAATGATTGTCTGGTAGAAGGAGATTGGCATCGGAAGAACATGCATCTAAATACCATGGGAAGAAACTAGCTCAATATGACATGTTATAAACGCATCTAGAGGCTGCAGTACGAGTACAAACATAAAATGTAGATGTGAGTCATGCCTTATTGTGCTTAGCTTGTTGAAGGACAACTGAACATTCCTTTCGAAAAAGGAAAAATCATAAGCAAAGCACTGCATATCCAGTCTAAGCCACAAGATGACTAAATGATTTTACAAATTTTTTTGATCAATGTACAATGTATCAAGAAAAATAAAGTTATCGCCAGCTCTAACAAATATAATGCATTTAGGGAAAAATAAATATCTAAACAAACAAATAAAAGTGCATATAGTAAGGGAAAAACGTACTTGATCATGCAAATTAGGACAATCACTACATGAAGAGTGCCTGAACCGCCCATCATCTTTGTTTATGCATTGCCATCCTGAATACCTGAACGGAACAAACGAAATTAAAAAATTATTTGTCTCCTAATTTCCCCTCTCATTATGTAACAATGCACAAACAAAACTTTCTGTACCCCAATATGTTGGGTTTTTTTTGTGGAGTTTAGTTTGTGTTGATCCGGATTATGATCTAACCCGAAATAATGGGGCGTGATTTTTAAAGTGCATTAAATCACAACAAAATAATGCTAATCTCTCCCTCTCTCTCACTCACACACACACATTCAAAGAGCTAATACACAAAATTGTGATAAGTAATTGGCTAATTTTTGAGCAAAACTGGGAAAATTTGACAGGGAAACAAAACATCACAAGATAAAGTAAAAAGAAATATGCGGAATGAGATATTTACAGCAGCGAAATTGAAGTTACCTGGAGAGAAAGAGGCTTGGGGTGCGATGAAAGAGAAGTGAATTTCTTCTGAAGTTGAAGAATTTGAAAGGCTTAGAACATGTATAAGACAATGGCAGTGGATTTGTCGCCCTCAATAACACGCTCTCTGAAGAGAGCGTTGTGCTTCGCATTCTCTCTCTCACTGACTCTCTTTCTATCTCTTTCCTGTAACCTTTGGTTGTGGCGATGATACAAGTTGATAGGTACGCTATGGCCTATGGATAAGCTCTCCCGCGTGGGCGCCAGTTTGACCGTTACTTGCCTACCGTTTTATCTACTTCGCCAAGACCTCAAAAATAAATAAAAGACAAATTACATTTTGACTACCCCAAGTGTGACCTCAACTATCATTTTTGAGCAATGCTAATGATATCTAATTTATTGATCTAATTTGTTGACCTAATTTACTAAAATTTTTGAATTAATTGTAGGGCCCATCAAATATTAAAATTTGGCGTTGATCCAATGACTTTATTGAAGCCACATAATTGTGTCAATAAATTAGATCAAATTTTTAGGTCTAAATAATATTACTCATCATTTTTTATTTTACACCCTTAACTATGTGAAATTAATCACATTGCCTCAATTATTAACGTCTATGACTTATTTTAATGAATAGTTATTTTACTTTGCCCTCTGAACTATATAATATTTTTTATTTTGCCCCAACGCATTAATAATTTCCATCCAAAAACATAACAAACGTTTGCAAATTGGCAAAATGAAATAATTAGTTGAAGGGACAATGTAAAAAAAAATCAATAGTTGAAAGGCTAAATTGAAAAAAAGGATATTTCGTTTGAAATTATCATAATGTGGAGAATTCATTTTATTTTGAAATATTTTCAAACTGGAAATCCTTGTCGCTTCAGAACATAATTGAATTTGCTAATTTTTGTGGGATAAATTATACTTTAACCTCTTAGCTATGATTATTTTTTCATATTACCCCCTCAATAATTATACTTTTTACATTGTACCATCAATTATTTAATTAATAGATTCATATTATTATACCAATTATTAACGTCTGTTATAAATTTAATAATAAAAAAATATTTCATTTTACCTCTCGAACTATGTGATTTTTTCACTTATCCTGACGCGTTGACAATTTCTATCAAAAGAGATAATCGAGACATATGTTTGGGGTAATATGAAATAATTCCAATAGAATGTAATGTGATAAACCAGGATGTTGGCCAAGTTACTCCCCATTATCCTTAGGCATATTTAACAAAAACCATAAAGTCTCACTATGGAAATCCATCAATCATTTAGAATGATGAACCCGAAGTACCCATGAAGGAGTCTCTAGTTTCCACTCAGTATTTACATCAGATACACTGGCCTTGGTAGTAAACATCTTTTTCTTTTCCCTGGATTGTCTTCACTGGATTGTTTGATCAAGAGACTGTTAACAGATTTTCGTGACGAATTTGATTTTGAATGGTTCAAGTATTGATATTTAAGAGAGTGACTACAATTTTTTTTTT